AAGTCCCGTCCGAGACTGGAGTTTTACCCACAAATCGCCAACCTTGTCAGACTTTCGCTTCGCGCACTGCGGCGTTAAAACAGCAGTTAACAAAACATCAAGTCAAAACAAGATCTCAGCAATATTACGGATCAGTGATGGATTCTATTCGGTGGCGATGTCCGTTCCTCCAAAGGGTGCTACTGGAATCTGCTCACTCTGGGGGCCGAGCTGACCACGGACATTGGAATGCAGGCGACAGGACCCCCGTGACACGTCGGCCCACGAACACCCGTGTCACATCAAAAAATGTTAATGTCTCCAATGGAATCTCGATGTAATGCTACGGCCTCCGCGGTAGCCGACGCGTACTCGCAAAGCCAAGTGAGCGTGAAAAGTATGCGACGGTCTCCGGTGCAAGGACGACTTCGGGCGGCAACTAAGCTAGTCCGAAAGCCACGCAACGTATGAAAGACCCGCATTGCAACGTAAAATGTTGGTACGCTAACGGGACGCGTGTACGAGTTAGCAGAAGCTCTAGAGCAACGAAGAAGTGATTTCTGTGCCGTACAGGAAAAGAGGTGGTCCTGCTGCGAGTCCAGGGGCAATGGCCACGGCTTTAAAACCTTTCTTTGTGGTGGCCTGGCGTGATTCGATTGTAAGCGTGGAACGCTTCGATGACCGCCTAATGAGGATCGTGGTAGTAATCAAATGTCAAAAATACCATCCCTTCTCAGCGTATGCTCCGCAGGCTGGATGCCTCGAGCGAAGCAAGAACAAGTTCAGGAACCTGTTCGTTGAAAAAACAGCTGAAGTACCATTACAAGAAGTCATATTTGTCGCGGGTGACCTCAATGGTCACGTGGGTGCTGTGAAAGACGGCTATAACTGCCATGGTGGTTTCGGATATGGGTCACGTAATACTGATGACGGGCGAAGTCTTGAATATGCAGATACGCATAATCTCGCCGTTGCAAACACGAATTTCGAAAACGTGACTCTCATCTCATCACCTTCTATAGCGGTGAGAACACAACACAACTTGATTTTGCCCTTTTCAGGCACCGCGATTAGGGGCTCGTAACAGATGCGAAAACAGTTCCTTATGAAACTATCACAACACAACACCGACCACTGTTTTGTACGTTAATGATCGCTCCGCCGAAGCCGAAATGAGCAGAAAGGTGTGGGCCAGTGAGGAGCAAGTGGTGGCGACTGAAGGAGAAAAAAGCGGTCGTCATTTCTAGGTTTCTATTAAAAACGGTAACGACTGTCGACGGAACTTGGAAGGGAGCTGAGGGAACGATAACCCAGGTTGCGCGGTCGAAGCTCGGTATCACCAAGCCTGGGTAACGAAAGCTTGATAAGCAAACATGGCTTGGATGGACCATGTCAAGGATAAAGTCCGTGAGAAGAAAAAGCAGTACCACGCATTTCTTGTCGAAAAGACAGTTGACAACTGGCAGCCCTATCAGTAGCAAAGAAAGAGGCGAAGAAGGCCGCTGCTTCTATGAAGGCAGCTCATTATGCCGACCTCAATAAGAGACTCAAGGCTCTTGACAGTGAGCGGTACGTTTACCTACTCGCGAAGACCCGCAATCGATAGATCGAGGATATAGAAAAGTTCATCGGCATGAACGGTAACCTCCTGACGGACCGCAGGCAAACACTGAAACGATGGCGAGAGTACTTCGCAAACATCTCAACAGTCGAATTCGCTCGTGCCGGAATTCCCTGTGCTCCGCCAGTAGACGGTCCATTCAGAAGATAACCGTGAGGGAGACAATTGCGCCCAAGAAAAGAATAAAATCAGGCAAAGCAACTGGTCCTGAAGACTTAGCGGCGGACTTGTAAAAATCAAAAGGCTGGAATCCTGCAGGGTGGTTGAAGGTTTCGTCAATCAGGTCGTTGCAGAGGAAAATGTGCCTGAGAGCTGGCAATTGAGCACGACAATTCTTATCTGGAAGAAGGGCAGGCCTGAAGACTGTTTTCGCTGCCGTTCGATCCGTTCACTCTCGCACAGCATGTTAATCTTTGAGAGAATTGTACACAGTCGTATCCGTGATATCGTCGAGCTGTTTACTAACCAGTGTGATTTCGTGGCTGATTGTAGCACTATCGATGCCATACACGCCACTCGCCGTCTTCTAGAAAAGTATCGCGAAAGACAAAGATCGGTACATTTCGCCATTCTAGACTTGGAGAAGGCTTTCGATCGCGTTCCGCGTGACGTTATATGGTATACCTTACGACAGCATGGCGTTCCCGAAGAACTCATTGAGTGGGTGCGCATTCTCTACGCTAGCCCAAAGAGCCGAGTACAAAGGGCAGCGGGCAATAGGAGGATTTTTCCATCTCCGTTGGAGTACACCATGCATTATCCCCACTATTATTTGTTGTCGTCATGGATACCATCACAAGAGACCTTCAGAAGCCGGCGCCATGGCCTCTTCTTTATGACGATGACGTGATGCTTGCCAGCGAAGACAAAAGCGAGCTTGAGCAACAGGTGCAAGCCTGGTCCGGTCGTCTATGTTCTATGTTCGGGCTCAGGTTAAACGTCAAAAAGACTGAGTACTTGACCACCAATCCGAGCAAAAAGCGACAACAACATTCAAGTATCTCGGATCGGCAATCGTGTCTGAGGCAGCCTGGTTTCAAAACGCGTGAATGCAGCGTGGTTGAAATGGCGCTCGATGACTGGCATACTCTGGACGAGCGTCTCAAATCCAAGATCTACAGAACCGCCACCCGGCCGGTCGCAATTTACGACGCTGAATGCTGGCCCACAACCAAAGAAGTTGAAGTCCGTCTCAGTGTGATGGAGACCAAAATGCTGCGCTGGACAGCCAGAGTAGCACGCCTAGACTGTGTGAATAATGGCGCCATCAGGGAGCGAATTCGGTGTAGCCCCCATTGTTGATAAAATGCGCGAAGCCCGTCTACCATGGTATGGTCATGTTCTTCGCGCAAAGAAGGACAGTGTCCGTAAGATCGGTCTCAACCTTGTCGTGTCCGAAAAGCGGTCTGGAGGACGTCCAAAGCAGCGGTGGCTCGATACTTTGCACGAAGACCTTAACATTCACCCCGATCAAGCGTTCAATCGGGAGAAGTAGCGTCAACATATCAGAAAAGCGGACCCCGGGAACAAGTGGAATAAACGCAAAAAGAGCAAGTAATGGATTCTACTCTCGTTCCCTCTGCAGCAGTCTTGAACAAGCTTGTGATAACTGCTCCTTTTCTGGAGAGGATGAACTGGCTTACAGTGAACAACGCCATTTTTTACTCTGTTTTCTGTATTTTTTAGTAAGTAGTCATCCACTTCGAGCCTCACTTGGATAATGAGGGAAATAGCACGTGCATCGTATATTCATGACCGCTCACCTACAATGGCGTTGTTCTGCAGAATATTTGGTGTATCAGAATGAGACAATTCTTTCTGGATTCAAACACAGGGACTACTTTATGCTTCATATCATACCACACCTCATATACTTATTTTATCTGAGCGGAATTGTTAGTGGTTGGTCTAGCCCCGCCCACCTCAAAGCAGACCCTTCCCACCAAACTTTGGAATGGGGGCTACTTTCCAGAATCAAATATAAATCTGTTCAGAAACGTTCTAGAATACAGGAAAAAAAGTGGTCAGAGGCATTAGAACAAATGTGGACAAGCTCCAGAAGTGGGTGGGAATTGCACGAAAGTAAGCGGAGCTCAGATAAAAAATTCATAACTTTATTCAGAACAGTTCTAGAATGCGGAGGAAAAGTGGTCAGAGCCCATAGAGGGGATGTGGTTAGATCTTTGACTTAAAGGCACAGTTCACGATAATTTTTAGTAATCCAGATTATGATGAAAAACGGGACATGATCGAAAATAGTGCGATGAGTGTGAAGAAGTTGCGTGAATCGGTGTTTCCATAGTGAAAAAAGGCTTCGAAAAACCGTTAAAAAGGGGGCTGGACGGGAATGAGACCAGAAAAAATGAAGAAGAGTGGGGCGTTTGGACGAGCTATACAATGTGTCTCACTGCGTGCGTGTGGGTACTCGTGCGAATAACAGACTATGGTAAACAAAAATTCACTCACTCATAAGCTTCTCAGGATAATCGGGATTGGAATAGATTTTACTCGTATTCACGGAAGTTTGATTATCGTCTAAACAAATATAACATCCATTGTGAGGAGAACGTTCTTAACAGTAAGAATGAAAAAGGATTCTATAAGCTATTGAATAGGAAGCTTGGGTCTGTGTGCAAAATCCCTTGTTCGAAGTATGACGAAAAAGAGGCAGTTTCAGATGTGGATAAAGCCAATCTGTTAGCGGATAAATTTGGTCAGGTGTTCTCTAACAGCGATGATTCATTGCCTGTTTTTACTCCCGCGGTCGGTACCACTATGGTTGACTACCCTTGGGTAGATAGTATTAGAGTTTTTGAGCTTTTGAATCAATTGCCTGACTCTCTTTCTTTAAAACCTGATTTTGTCTCACCTATGTTCATGAAGAACATTGCTCATATTGTAGCAGAACCATTAGCCTACACTTTCAAACAGTCACTATGCTTGAGCCAAGTTTCAGTTAGATGGACACACTCTTTCGTGACACCTCTTTTGAAGAAGGAGCCTTCGCATTCCGTGAACAACTACAGTCCTGTTAGTATAACCTCGTTTATTTGTAGAGTATTTGAGAAGGTTCTTAAGAAACATACTATGGGTCACTTGGAGAGGAATGGATAATACCATCTGATCAGCGCGGATTCGTCCCGGGTAGATCGGTTGAAACGAACCTCCTTGAATGTATCGATGACTGGAGCGTTTACCTCGACGAAAGGAGAGCTTGTGATGTTGTTTATTTTGACTTTTCCAAAGCGTTTGACAAGGTGGATCATGCTAAACTTTGTATAAATTGGATCAGCTCAAATTTCATCCTTTCGTTTGTCGTTGGTTGGAGAACTTTCTCTCTTCTAGGACATTTCAAGTCCGAATAGGGTCTTCCTTTTCTAAGGTCGTTAATGCTAAAAGCGGAGTGCTGCAAGGTGGTTATTATTACCTATTCTTTTGCTATATATACTCAGGAGCTCCCAGGTTTACTAGAAGGATGTGGTATTGTTTGCAAGCAATTTGCAGATGACATCAAGGTATATAGGAAGTTGGAAGGCAGTGATGATACAGAAAGGATTCAAAAGGCTTTGGATTGTATTTTCAATTGGTCCTGTAAACGGAATTTGCCTCTTGCACCGGAGAAAACTGTTTACATGAGAATCGGTTCTTCTACTGGTGTTCCGAATTACAATTGTCTTGATGATCATGTCCTTTCTGAGGTCTCTTCAGTTAAAGACCTGGGCTTCCACTAGGACAATAAGCTTAATTTCTCTACTTTCTATGCGGCTATTTTCAAAAAGGCTATCTTTCGAACATACCAGGTCTTCAAAGGTTTAACGATTAGTGATAGAGATATTTTACTGAGGGCTTACATAACGTATATACGTCCCGTAGTTGAATGTTGAACGTCTGTTTTCTGCTCATATAAAATGAAGGATATTCAGTTGATTGAGAAAATTCAAGATAATCTCACTCGAAAGCTGGTTGTTAGATCTAGTGATGCTACTTATGGTAAAGTGCCTCGGCCAAATTCAAGAAATAAAAGTCTACAATTGCACTGTTTATGATCTCGTAGGAAGGTTTATGATGTATGTATGGTGTTCGAGTTGCTGACTGGTATTGCTAGAATCGACGCATCCAAATTCTATGCAAAGTTGGGATCTAGAACCAGAGGTGGACAAGTTAAAATTTCATATGCAACGCCGAAAACCAACAGCAGACGTTACAGCTTTACTTGCCGAGCCGGCGCTTCCTTTGTATCTCTGAAATCAGATGTGCCATTCACCACTTCTACGTTTGCACTTTTCAAACTCCTCGCTAAGAAAAAGCTCTTGTCGTCCAATTAGGTTACGTTGTGTTGTTAGCGATAGAAATTTTCCCACGTTTGCCTTAAGCAACGTCTTCAATAAATAAGTAAATAAATAGGCATAAGTAAACAAAAAACTTTAGTAGCAGCAAAAATAGCTCAGCTTTTTCAGCCTCTAGGGGTATGAAATTGAATAGGGGATCGCGGCAGCAAAAAGAATAACAGAGGAAAAAAGAATGGGAGGAAAACATCGCCTCATCACTCGGCGATCGGCTCATTGTGTGTGGGTCCCACAACGATTAGTTGCAATCTGTATTGTCTCTGCACTCGCCTAACGTGACATTGATCGAGGGGCTTTAAAGCCAATTACGGCAGCAACAGGGCTTCCACTGTGCCCTAACCGCCGAGATTATGGGAGCGAGAGTGTGCCTTCTATCACCCATGGGGGGGGCGCTGAGTATTCCTGAGGAAGAACTCAGTAACCTTCTTTGTCGTGAACCGTGCCTTTAAGCTAAGCTTGCACAGGGCTGAAATCAAAAATTCGTAACTCTGTTCAAAAACGTTGTAGATTGCGGAAAAAATGATCAGGGGCAGCTAAAAGAAGAGCTGTCAAACTTTTTCTGTGAGCGGTCTGCTCTGGGGGGGGGGGCGGGGTTATGATTACCCACTAATATGCTCAGATAAGATACAGAACGACTACAAATGATATAGTCACCTCTGATTTTCCCAAGAACTCATTATACACGATGTTTCTGAAAAAATGCCAAAGTAAAAATGTGTCAAATCTGAATAGCAATTCTTGCATTATCACCAAATTCCAACTCGGAAACACAAACATTTTTTGGTCAATTTTTCAGTCAAGAGTGCTTTTCCAACGTTTCCAAATGATATAGCCACTAAAAGAATAAATTTATTCAACAACCAACATACAACAAGGAAAGAAAGTTGCAAAGTTAATAATTAGCTAGCCTACCATTCTTCCGTTACTTTGAAAATACTGTGGTCTAGGCAACTCCTTGACGCCCGATATTGCTTGTTTTGGGCGTAAATCTTCCGCACCATGAAACCCCATATATTTCCCATCGGGGCTGTTCGCCGACCAGGGCAGAAGTGCAAACCGGTGCCGCGAGAACCAGGCTTGGGTGCTATTGCTGACGTGAATTGGGGCATTATTTTGCATGAAAACAAGATTTTGGTGCCAATTCCGATGCTAGAAAGGGAGAAGTGCACGGCGCATAACAGTTCCATAAAAGGACGAGTTCATCTTTTTTGTACAACACATAAATGGATACGCCTACTCGGTGAAATCGCGGACCAAATGACTTCTCCTCCTCTGTAGTTCCGTCTAGAAAACTGTTTTTCCTTTCTAGGTCTCAGTTTTTCTCAGTAAAATCGGTTCCCATCTGGACCATCATAAATGAACTTCGTTTCATCGAAAAAAGTGACCTGAGAGCAAAAACCATCAAGAGAAGGAAGGTCAAACGTCGGCACGTGAAGAGTACCTTATGCCACTCGTTACGGCTGCATCTTCTGGCAAACGCGACCCCATTTTTTCGATGTCTTTTTACCATGAAGGTGCTCTACGCATTTTCCGCGTGACGATGAACTTGGACCTTCTGATAACCTTCCAATCAGTGTTTTTTGAGACATTAAGGTTCGGAGACGACCGGATTTCCATACAGGACTTGGTGGAGTTCGACGCTTCCCTCAAAATAGAGCGCTTGTCTCTGTCGGAGAGCAGCGAACGACGTCCAGCACTTCTTCTGGTTCCATAGACTTCTGGATTCTTGATGAAATTATCTACAACTGCGTGACATCGACCCAAATCTCGCGCTATCATTGAACTAGAACACGACACGAAGACATGAAGTGGCTGTATCACTTGTAATCATTGGGAAAGTACCCTTTACTGAAGAATTGACCATAAAAATGTTTGTGTTTCCGCACTGGAGTTTGGTGATAATGTGCGGACTGCAATTCAGATTTGACACATTTTTTACTTCGGTACTTTTTCAGCAATAGTGTATACTGTCAGTTTTTGGGGAAATTAGGGATAGCTTTATCATTCAAAGGCGCATTGTATATCGGGCGGATGCCCTCAAAGTAGTCCCTGCGTTCTAATCTAGAGAGAACTAGCTCATTTTGTTACAATAAATGTTCCGCTGAGCGACGCCATTGTAGGTGAGCGATTATGAATATGCAATGCAGGT